CTAATGTAATGTATGGTGATTAATATAACATAATAAAATAAAAAAAAAAGATTTTATTTTTAAGTAATTTTGACACCCAACATGGGGCTTGAACCCACAACCCTAAGATCAAGAGCCACATGCTCTATTGACTGAGCCAGCCAGGTGCCCCTCCCCAAATTTATTTTTAGATTAAATCCCAATTAAAATTTCAGCAAATTTTTTTCCTGAAATTTTTCAAGATAGTTTTAGAATCAGATTGAAAATTCAAATGGCCAAGAATAGCCATGCCCTGCCCCCAAAAAGAAAGAAAAAGTAGAATCAAGTTGGAGGATTTACACTATGATAAAAACAGGCTTTATTATAAAGCTACAGTAATTAAGGCATTGTAATATTTTTATAACAACAGACAAATAGACCAATGGGTCAGAAAAAGAGTCTAGAAATCAACCTACACACATAAATCAAAAATTGATTTATGGCAACACAGGAGAACAGTGAGGAAAGAATGGTCTCTCGATAAAATTGGATATCCACATAGAAAAACAATAAATTTGGGCTTCTATCTTATAAAATACCCAGACATAAATTCCAGATATATTGTTGTTTTCAATGTGAAAAGTAAAGTATTAAAGCTCTGAAAGATTACATTGAAGAATAACTTTGTGATTTGGGAGAGACAAAGATTTCTCAAGACACAAAAAAGCAATAACTATATGAAAAACAATAAATAGAACTACATTAAGATTAAGGGCATCCCTTCATCAGAGGCACCATTATGAGAATGAAAGAGCCACAATGTGGGAGAAAATATTTGTGATCCATTTAAACAATAGGCTCATATTAAAAACACACAAAGAACTAAAATCAATAAGAAAAAGAGAGATAACCCAAGAGAAAAACAGGCAAGAAACTGAACACACACCTCAGAAAATGGAATCTTCAATGACCAATAAGTATTTAAAAATATGCACAACCTCATCAGTCATCAGAGAAATGTGGGATATAATCCCCAGGAGATACTACTATATGCCCATCGGAATGGCTACAGTGACAAAGACTGATAATCCGAGGATAAAGTCTAGAGCAAAAGAAGTCCTCATACAAATGTAGTTTGTGGGGATATAATCGGTACAACTGTTTTGACAAACTGACAATATTAGCTGAAGACAGACCTGCACAGATGTGATGCAGCTATTCCACTCTAGGTAACAGAAATGGATATATATGACAAAAGGTTGAGTGTGACTGTGTGTGTGTGTGAGTGTGTATGTGTGTGTGTGTGAGAGAGAGAGGAAGAGGCAAGGCAAGGTGAGGAGAGGAGAGGATGTTCACAGTAGTATTGTTTTCAATGGCCACAAATTAGAAACAACTTAAATGTCTATCAATAGAATTAATATGTAATTTGAGATACTCAAAGTGGCTCATGAATTTGTCGTATTTACAGAATATGAGGGCAGACATCTAGGTACAAAAATAGCTAATAATTTGATTGTGTCCAATTAAAAGCCTTCCGATAGTGAGACAAAATGGAGAAAAGTCTCACCAAATAGCTGTATCAGTTGTGAAGAGAATATCTGACCATAGCTCACTTCAGAATCATGTTACAGGGGATGTTGTTTGAAGGGCCACCAGGTGATCCCTGAGTAATTGGGCACTTTGGGTCAAATGGTCTCAGTCTTGAGTACATGGACAGAAAGTCATGGGCAAGTTGTAGTTTCTCAAAGAGAAACTTCAGTAAAGGCAGGAGAATGTCTCCAAGGGAAACTGGGGCTTTGGTTTCTCTTCTCATGTTTCTGGGTCAGGAAAAACTAAATTCTGGTTCGTAAATTCTTTTAAAAAATAGGTAAGAGTTTCAGGTGAGGAAATCACTATTCAGAGAAGAAGTAACAGAAGCCTAATAAGCACAGCATAATTGGCCTGTAGAGATTGTCTCTCTGAGGGAAAAGAAAGTTACTTCTTCCAAATCCCCATCTTGCGCATCTCTGCTCTTCCTGGGGCAATGATGACCTCCTGTCCTAGAGGTAAGACAGTCATGCTCAGAGGTGTTCCCCTTGGGTTCTTAGGACCAGCATCAGGAAGCCAGGGTATCCTTCACACACAACTTCTTCCTTGGCTCATGTGGCAATTGGATTGAATCGGGCTACTGGAGAAATAAATGTCCCATTTTGGCAATTGGTTTAAAGAAAACATATATATCTTAATTTTATTAAGTTTTTAAAAAAAATTATTAAGTTTTTAATTTAAATTTCAGTATAGTTAACGTTCACTATTATGTTAAAAGAAAACATATTTGGGGTAGCCAAACTGGGGAGAAAGTTCTTTCCGGTACCTCTGAGAAATGCAGCACCTAGCACAAGGCTTTGGCTGCAACGGTAGGAAGCATTGGGCTTAGCTACTACAGGTCATGTCCCATCCACCACTCTGTACTCCTCAGCACCTGCCCGCTCCTGGAAATCTGCACCAGCGGACAGGTTTGTGTTGACCAACATTCTTAAATGATGATGGTCGGAAGGTGATATCATCTGGATAGCTGGCTTCAAACTTTCTGTTGACCTAAACAATATAGGTATGCATAAGGAAGTGGGGATGGGGTGGAGAGAGCAACTTAGCCAATTAACTTTTGGGAAATATCACACTTTCCAGGTGCTCCTTTTTTGAGAAGAATACTTGTAATGTGTAATTTCAGGGAGCTTGAACCACAATTCCAGGAAGAAAAGGTGATGCATGCTTGCCGTTAAATAGGTTACAACACCTCCACCTTACTTTTGAATCTGCTTTAAACTTTTATTTACATATCAAATTTTCAAAACTGTTTTGAACTTTTATTTATTTTTAACCTCTTTTTTAACCTTCCTTTTCTTATTGATATTATGTACTTATTCCATCCTTGTCTCTATTTCCCTCCCTCCAGTGAATTAGGATAAACCTGAATGTATGATCCCTTTAGACAGATGGAGAAACTAGGTAATGAGAATTGAACTGGGAAATGCATGTTTATTGGCAAAGCAGTTCATTCATTCCCAGAGAGAGGCACTTTAAAAACCATGAAGATGATACAGAAACATGATATTCTAACCATGTTTCTTTTTTCTTTTTTTTTTTTTTAAGATTTTATTTATTTGAGAGAGAGAGAGCTTAGCAGGAGGGAGAGGGAGAAGCAGACACCCTGCTGAGCAGGGAGCTTGCCACAGGGGCATCTCAGGCACCCTATTGATCTGTGGTTAGCTGCCCTTACTCTCATGAATGCCCTCAATACAAATTGGGATTTTCATAACATATTCAATGGCACTATCTGATCACAGACAACAAGCAGATAATATCTCCTTGGGACAGCTATGAATGAGTTTCACTTTCTCCATCCAAAGGGCAGAGTAATTAGAGGATGTGGGAAGTTGAGAGTGGACTTTATTTAGGCAATGAGTTTTTTAGAAATCACTTGTGATTTATTTTATTTTTTTTTATTATGTTAATTACCATACATTACATCATTAGTTTTTGATGTAGTGTTCCATGATTCATTGTTTGCGTATAACACCCAGTGCTCCATTCAATACGTGCCCTCTTTAATACCCATCACCAGGCTAACCCATCCCCCCACCCCCTCCCCTCTAGAACTCTCAGTTTGTTTCTCAGAGTCCATAGTCTCTCATAGTTCGTCTCCCCCTCTAATTGCCCCCCCTTCACTTGTGATTTGAATTAAGGTGCAAATAAGATTACTAAGAATTCTAAAGAGAATTTCTGAATACTAGAGCCTTTGAACTTTCTGAAATACTAACACATCAGCAGGATTAGAAAGTTTAGAGATGTTATTGAGCAGACTAAGGTATCACCTTCTGCTCGGGTAAGTTATGGTAGAGGGAGCATTAACACAAGGATGGACTATGACAGTTTCCTAAGAGGGGAAAATAGTCAACTATTTCAGATGGAGATCAAAGTAAGAGGAGATCAAAGGAAAAGATAATCAACAGTCTTTTCACTGAGTTAATTCTAGTTAATGATGTTCCATCACACTATTGTCTCCAAACCATAACTCTCACTACGCAGGATACATACAGAGTCAGCAAATGTGCAGCCAGTTTTCCATTTTGTCTTAGTTAATAGGCAAGTATGTGTGGCAAGTATTTGAGCTCCTATCATTTATTAGGGAAGCAAGTTAATGCATCTTTGACTTTGATTTGTTTCTTCACAGACATACCCTGCCTATCAGTGCTATGCTGCTCTTCCAAAGGAGGATGAAAACATTACAGATTCTTTCCTCTTACCCTCTCACACTGATAAAAGACAAGCAGGTGAAGATTTTCAAAACAGAGGCTGATCGCCCCAGGTCTTCATTCTTTACTTCCCTGACCCTGAAATGTAATTTTGACAATTTGTTCCTACTGAAAAATCTATTTTATATTTGCTACCTTCTAACTTGCAACCTAAAATTTCTGATTTTAAAAGGATGGAAATTTAGTATTTCATTTTCATAGAGACTCCAGAAGTAAAATAGTAAATTAAAAAAAAAACAGTTAATACCTGTTAGGCCCCATTCAATATGGATTTTGAGGCGGGAGGAGGGAAATACTTGCATCCCACAAAGAAGTAAACAAACTCCATGCCTTGGAACGGGCCCTAAATAAGAGAAGCATGTTTTACAGTTAATCGTTTCATCTCAAATGTCTAAGCATTTTCATAAAACCTTTCCTATTTAAGGAAGGAGAAGAGTTTTCTCCTTCCTTGAATCTGAGCCATATCAATGGGTTCTATTGTGGTCCCAAACCCTGAAGGAGACATATAATCTGGGAAAGCACACAGTGCAATGTCACATGGCTGTTTGGTCGAAATGACCTCGTCAGGCCCCCTGCCACCTTAAGTATCTGGTGCTCATTGATTTATAACTTGGATTTGGTCCTCAGAGTCTCATGGGCAGAGAAAACCCAGACATGGATGAATGAGTTCATTCTGCTGGGGCTGTCCAGCTGCTGGGACACTCAGCTCTCCCTATTTGTCCTTTTCCTGGTCATGTATCTGGTGACCATGCTGGGGAACTTCCTCCTCCTCCTCCTCATCAGACTGGACAGCAGGCTACACACACCAATGTACTTTTTCCTCAGTGTCTTGTCATTTGTGGACATCTGTTATACCAACAGCACTGTCCCACAGATGGTTGTTCACTTCCTGTCAGCCTGGAAGCCCATCCCATTCTACAGCTGTGTGTTCCAGCTCTTCATCTCCCTGGCGATGGGCAGCTCCGAGTTCTTCCTGCTGGGAGCCATGGCTTATGACCGCTCTGTGGCAGTGTGCCATCCACTGCACCACAGTCATCATGCATGGAGGACTGTGCCTGGGGCTGGCTGCCGGCTGCTTGGCGGCTGGTTTCATGAATTCAATGATGCAGAAGATCATCATCTTTCGGCTACCTTTGTGCCGTAATGTTATTAATCACTTTGCTTGTGAGATGTTGGCTGTGCTGAGGCTGACCTGTGTGGACATCTCCTTCAACAAGGTCATGGTGGCCATCTCAGGATTTCTGGTGATCATGCTTCCCTGTTTCCTGGTTCTGTTCTCTTATGGTCGTATAGTTACTGCCAATCTGCATATTCGCTCTGCCGAAGGACGCTGCAAAGCATTTGAGACCTGTGCCTCCTACCTCACTGTGGTTTCCATGTGCTTTGGAACAGCCATCTTCACGTACTTGAGACCCACTGCTGGTTCCTCAGCAGAGCAAGAGAAGTTGGTTGCCCTGTTCTATGCTGTGGTGACCCCAATGCTGAATCCCTTAATCTACAGCTTGAGGAACAAGGAGGTAATGAGTGCTATGAGGAGACTGTTGGGAAAACTTAGTGAAAAAAGGTAAAGATTCAAAAGATTTCTCCTTCCTTCCAATAGCCCAAATAACAATATTTCAAACAAAGAGGAAATGATTGACATGCCCTTTTCCCTGGATTAACCAATAAGGTGGATCATGGTGAACACATTTTTGAAGACCAACTTTTCACATTAGTCCAGATTTTCACTATGTATTACTGCCCTACTGTACATAAGGTAAAAAAAAAAAAAAAAAAAGCCTTCAATTATTAAGCTTGGGCCTGCTGGGTTAGCTGTCCTTCTAGAGCTCACATTCCCCCTTCTCCTTTCTTATTCCTCCTGCATTTGCCCCTAGGAAATGCAGTGTGAACAGTGAAAGTTTCAGATTGAGGACAGCCATGCTTTACATGTTGACCCACCCCTCACCAGCACTGTGGCTTTGACAGATGTGTTTAATATCTCTGATCTCCAGTTTTCTCAAATATAAGAAGTAATAATATTCAGTATGTGTGATTATTTTGAATATTATAGATAATCTATGTAAAATACTTGGTAGACTGGTGGTATAGATATTCAACTATATTTAAAAATAGTTTTTAGGACACCATTATAGGGCTAAGCATTATGCAAACTTTTCTCTATATACAATTATTAAAAATGAACTTTTTTTTTTTTTTTTAAGAGAGAGAGAGTGTGTGTGTGTGAGTGGGGAGGGGCAGAGGGAGAAGGAGAGAGAATCTTAAGCAGGCTCCATGCTCAGCATGGAGCCCGACTCAGGGCTTGATCTCAGGACGCTGAGATCATGGCCTGAGTGGAACTCAAGAGTCGGATACTTAACTGACTGAGTCACCCAGGCTCCTGGAAAGTGAACTTTTTTTCTCTATTCCATGGTTTTGTTAGATCCCTGTACTATGTCTGCTCTAGGGTATCATCTTACCCAGAACCACGACATCTATCTACAGATCTCTCTCTCTCTGCCAGTCTCTGATCTCTCGATATCTCAATCTCCATCTGTTATATATTTTTTGCTCCAAGACAGACGAGACCTTTCTCATAAGTTCCAAGCACATATATCCAATTGCTTGCTTAATACCTTCACTTACATCACCTGAATTGCATTCTTAACAATAGAATGATTGTGCTTGCTTCCTCTATCCTAAGCTACTCCTTTCCTCTTGCTCTAATACACCTTCACTATAGTAGCAAAAGGAACCCTATACACTCAGAATAATTCTTGATTCCTTTCTTTTATACCCACTCTGTCAATAGAATCCATTAGCCTTATCAACAAGATATATCTTCAATCTGGTCTCTCTGCACCTCTGCTTTTTACATTTTATTCTTCATACAACAGTGTACTTAAAACTTTTTTTAACTTTATGTTGTAAAATAAAACACAGAGGCAGAAAAGCACACTACGCAAATGTGTATCTGAGTGAACTATGATAAGACAACCCTTCTTATATAAACCATTCAAGTAAAAAAACAGAGCTGCAAGCTACTGAGGAAGTCCCTCCATGTGTCCCATCCCAAGCATGACACCTTTTCCCCCAAAGTAACTGCTATCCTGACCACTGCAGCAATCACTTTCCTGCATTACTGATGACTTTGTGACCCAAGCAAATATCCCTAGTTGCTGTAGTTTGGTTTTGCCCATTTTTATTCAACTTGGTATGTCTTTGAAGTCTCTTTAATCTGTAATTCTGTCCAACTCTTTATTTATCCTGCAATTTATTTGAGTGGCCCAGGTCATTTGACTTGCAGAAGGTGCTTTGCTTAGAAAATATATCTGGCCACATCTTTATCCTGCTTAGGATAAAGTCCAGCTGCATACATGTGTGGCCCGACATGGTCCAGCTGCTTCTGCAGAGATAATTGGTAGATAATATTCCTTAGTAGTTGGAACATTATCACCTGCAGAAGGACCCTGTTATTAATTGTTAAACAATTAATTCTCTGCAGCCACTGTGGAAAACAGTATGGAAGTTCCTCAAAAAATTAAAAATAGTACTACCATATGATCCAGTAATTCTACTACTGGGCATTTACCCAAAGAATATGAAAACACTAATTTGAAAGGATATATGCACCCCTATGTTTACTGCAGCATTATTTACAATAGCCAAATGATGGAAGCAGCTCAAGTGTCCATCGATAGATGAATGGATAAAGATGTGGTGTATATATACATATACAGCCGTAAAAAAGAACGGAATCTTGCCATTTGCCACAACATGGATGGATCTAGGGGACGTAATGCTAAGTGAAATAAGTCAGTCAGAGAAAGACAAATGCCATATGATTTCACTCATATGTGGAATTAAAGAGACAAAATGAACAAACAAAGAAAAAAGAGACAAACCAAAAAACAGACTCAACTCTAGAGAAGAAACAGATAATTACCAGAGGAAAGGTGGGTGGGGGGATGGGTGAAATAGGTGAAGAGGATTAAGAGTACACTCATCATGTTGAGCACTGAGTAATGTATAGAGTTGTTGAATCACTATATTGTACACTTGGAACTAATATAACCATGTATGTTAATTATATTGCAATTAAAATTTTAAAAAATTCTCTTTTATCTCATTCTTTATTTCTTCCTTGCTGTGTGGACAACTATTCTAATATGTTAACTTTATTCATGGAGTCCTTTGTTGAACAAAAACCCTTCATTTTGATATGATCTGATTCATCATATTTTTGTTCTATGATTCATGCTTATGAATTTTTCTAAAAAAATTCCTGCATCAAGGTCATAAAATATTTTCCTATTTAATCCAGTTTTCTACTTTTACCTTTCACAGTTACTTCTTTAGTTTATCTGACATTCTGCTCTGCATATGTTGTCAAATATGGATCTGGTGGGTGTTCTTCCATGTTATGGTCCATTTATTAAACAGTCTATCTTTTAGTCATTGATCTGCAGTAACTTTTATGTACATTGAGCTTACCTATGTACGGATCTGTTTTTGAACTCTGTTCTTTTCGCTTTGTTCATTTGTTTGCTCTCCCATCATATAATTCTATTATTCTCTTTTTAAAAGTCATTTTGGCTTGTAATAAGTCTTCATTTGTCATGTGTAATTTATCAAATAAGATGGCCAAACTCATCTTCTTTTTCAAAGTTATTAAATATATAGTCAAAGTAGCCAGCTAGTCTGTTTATATTTATTGACCTATTTTATTTATAGTCAATCTACAAATAGTCAGCTATTTATAGAGTGATGTATTCCAAATAAATTTTTGAGTAATTTTATTAAGTTCCCCAAAAGTTCATCTAAATTTTTGATTAGGTTTGCATTGAATATGTAGATTCATTTTGGAGCATTGACATCTTTATAATACGTTGTCTCATCTGAAGAATGTCTTTGAGGTTATTTAGATAATCTTTTTTGTGCTATTTAAAGTTTTAATATTTTCTCCATATTTGTTTAACAGATATTTGTTAAACATACTATATGGCAGACACTCTTCCAGGTATTGTGGATACAACAGTGAAAAGCAAGCAAAAGTCTCTGCCTTCATGGAGATTACATTCTACTTAAGGGAAATAATAAATATAAGAAACAATTAATGTATATAGTATATTATAGGTATTACTTGCTACAGAGGAAAATGGGAAAAGAAGAGGAAGAATACTGGAAGGACTAAAAGTTTTGGCAAAGAGCTCCATAGAAATCATGTATTCTCTCTGCTGAGAAATTCCTAAATACTTTATAATTTATGTTGCTATTATAAATAGAATTTTATTTTTTTCATTGGTTATTGCTGGTGTACAGAAACACTATTGATTTCTGTGAGGTGATCTCATATGTAGTTCTTTCTTATTAAATCTAATTGTTGAACATTTTTTTCAGATATATAATATTATCTGTAAAAAATGGTAGTTTTCCTTATAATCTTTGTATGTCTCAATGTACTTCTTTTCTCATATCGTAGCTCAGGACCTCTAACGTCAGGTCAAACAATAGCTGTGATAGCAGGTATCCTTCTGGTTCCTGATCCAAGGAAAGCATCTACAGATTCTCCATTAGGTATAATGTTTGCTGTGGATTTAGGGCATTTAACTTTTATTAAATTTAGTTTTTAAGAAAGAAGTGTAATAAAGTGAGAGAGTACCTGCCCTCGTATACATCAAAGCAGATTATATATAAGTACAATTAAAATTGTAGTATTGTTGTAGAAAAATTCATGAATCCAAATATAATCCCCAAAGAAACTTTTACATATATGAATTTAGTATATCATAGATGTATAATTTCAAGGTAATATAGGAAAATATGTACTACTAAATAAGTGATGTTGGGACACATGGCTATACTAACAGGACAAAGAAATGTCATCTTTCCTATTAATATGCCATGAAAAATTCCAAGTATCTAAAGGTGAGGAAATGATTTTACAAATGAGTTTATATTTGCTCCCTCCTAAAAATGTACTAAATAATGGTAAAAGCATAAGAGACAAGATAATAAATCCATAAAGCAAAGAGGACAATAAATTTAACAAATATATTTTATGAGAAATGCCAACAACATTTTGGAAGCTAGAAGCAACTTTTTTTCTCTTCTCTTGTCTTTTTAAGGTCCAGAGCTAACAGGCTCTACTACATTTGCCCTTCCAACTCCAGCACTCACATAGGCAGCACTCTGCAGGCACATTATTTTGTTCAGAAAGTGGGTCTCAGGGGCACCCAGGTGGCTCAGTTGGTTGAGCTTCTGACTCTTGATTGTTGGCTCAGGTCATGATCTCAGGTTCTGGAGCCCCACGTTGGACTCTGCACTCACTGGGGAGTCTGCTTGAGGATTCTCTCTCCCTCTCCCTCTGTCCCTCCCCCTGCTTGCTCTCGCTCTATCTCAAATAAGTAAATAAATCTTAAAGAAAAATAAAGAAAGTGGGTCTCAGACCATTGGCTGGGAGAAAATGCTATTGTCAAAGCTCCATTCTCCCCACCTTATTGGGGAGAATGAATCAGAATAAGTTGGGGACAATGAATCACAAGCCCATTCCTGGGGCAATGCCACGTAGCTGAGCAGAGGGTGAGAGCAG